AATGTATTATTAATGGAAATTTAGTAAAATATTTTTTATAATAATTTATATTTATAAGATATTCCTTATCTTTCCTTAACTTAATTACTATTTTAAGTAATGTATTTTTAAAACTTTCATTTTAGTAAGTAAGATGTAAAGTTTTAAACATTTAAATATCCGTATAATCGGTTGAAGCATTAACCAGTTACCATACTGATGTAACAAGTAATGAGATGAAATTGGATTGAATAGCAAATAATACTGAGTTGAATATCACCTCACTCGCCACATCAACATGGTAACCAATTACCGGTTAACCGGATATTTAAATGTTTAAAACTTTATATTTTAGATACTAAAATAAAAAATTTCAAAATTTGTTATTTAAAATATGAATTAAATCAAAGTATGTTAGTTTTTAATGCAATTTGTATTTTAAAAAACCTGTTAAAACTTACTTTCAATCATTTCTGATTTGAAGTAGTGGGATGGCACTTGAATCATATGTTGGCTTAGATCATATGATTCCTAACTCAACTCAAACTCCAACTCTTTCACTCGTACATTTTTCAACAACAACATAACCGTATCTTTCTCTTCGAATCAAAACCTACCCCCCCAATGAGCCCTAATTTCTCTTCACATTGCACATTCATCTTCCACCTCTTCCCAAATGCAATTCCTTTTCAGGTACTTACGCCTTAAATCTTCTGCTTTTATGTTCGAATCCTTTTGTTTCTTGTTCTATCGAACGCTATACTTGCTTTCTGTTCTTGATTCGATGTTGTTTAGTTTGTGATTCTGTAAAAGATTGGAGATTTTTCGGTTTATACGAATAGGGTTCGAATTGGGGTTTTTTTTTTTTTTTTGTATTGATTACTGATTGCAAATGGGAACTTAGATTTATATGTGGCTTTTTATGCGGTTTATTCGTCAGGTACGAAGATGCTAGTTTGGAAACCGAAAATTGGGATCGGTAGTGTTTGAGTTTGTTGAATGTTAGTTATATGGAAACCCTAAAAACCTCTGAAACCCTAGTTGAGGGTTTAGTGGCATCTAAACAAGATGGATTAGGGAATCCAGTTGAGGGGGGGTCTTTTGATTTTGTGGAAGAAAAATGTGTTGAATCTGTGTCGAATCCAGTTCCGGAAACTGGTGGCATTAAGGGTTTTGAGCCGGTGGCGGCACTGGTGGCTTCAGTGACGGAGATCGGTGGCAGGGTTGATTCAAGTAGCCATGGAGATGTTCCTATAAAAGGGATTTCCCTTTTTGTGGAATTGACCGGCGGAGTGACGAGTGATGGTTTGCACCATTCGGAGGATCGTGTCTCACTAGGAAATAAATTGGATACCGATGGTTTAGTGAACGGAAATCAGGGTGAGGTTATCTTTTGTCATCAAGAATGTCGTCCCAATCTGGGTGATTTCGTGTGGGCTGTAATCAAGAACCAATCATGGTGGCCTGGAATCGTTTGTGATGGTTCTAATGCACCAAAAGAAGCTTCAAAGACGCAGAAACCTGAAGATGGTCTTCTGGTTAGATGTTTTGGTAACGGAAGTTATGTTAGATGCCTCCCTTATCAATTGAAGCCATTCGTTGCGTACTTTGAACAGTTTTCGAAGCAAAATAAGTCCAAAAGCTTTGTTGGTGCGTTAGAGAAGGCTGTAGCTGAGTTTGGTCATCGTATAAAGACAGAGTTCACGTGCTCTTGTTTCTCTAAGACGATGGTGGAGGGTAAGGGTGACGTTGGCAATCTTTCGGCAACTCGGTTTCAACCTGCAACTTTTGTTGATTATATAAAAGATCTTGCTAGAGATATTTCTATGTCCACCAAGATTGATTATGCTGTTAACCAGAACTTTTTGTCGGCTTTTTATCGCTCGTTAGGGCATTGCCAGATTGGGTTGCATCAACTCAAGCCGGCAAGTATAAAGGCCGAAGAGGAAAATTGGGTTTTCAATGGAGATGCGAACACGGAGAACAAAAATATTAGTTTCGTTATGGGAGATGATATCAAGAATGAAAAATCTGAAAAACATTATGAAACAAGAGAACGAAGGAAGAGCAGATTTTTGTCGTATCCATATACAGACGTTAATGGGGTCAAAAGATCCGTTTCAGGAGAACGGGGAATGGAAGAGTCAGGGGTGGATGTTAATGGCGGAATGGAGTTGAACAAAGCTAACGGCCAGCCCGTTAAGAAGCCACGGAAGAAATGGTGCAGAAAGTCTGTTAGAAAGGATGATTTAGCAGGTAAAGGGGTGCCAGCAAATGTATGTTCATCTGAGGTTCTCTCCGAGCTTCAATCTGCTGCTCAAGATTGTCTTTTTCCAATTGAAAGTACGAAATTTGATTCAGTTGAACGATTTATAGCCGGATTCAGGAAATGGGCGTTTAATGATTTCACAAAAGAAATCACGATTGATCTAACAGCAGGCCAAGAGAATGGCATTGGGATGGGAATGGTAAGAACTATTGATGTGAATACAACTGTTGATATGGCGGGAAAAGGAACTCGAGGGCGGGCCAAGAAGGTGAGAAAGAAGAACAACAACAAACCCGTCTCATCACCCATTTCAGGAACCAATCCGAGTCGTGGCTCACTGATTATCAATTTCCAGAATGTTGGTTCTCAAGCTCTTGAAACTCAAGCAATGCCAAACAAGAACATGGAGGTGGTAGCAGATCAAGTGCTTCAAGATAACGAAGTAAAAGAAGTCATTTCGGAGTCGAATGGAAAATGTACCATCTTGGATTTTGGAGATCTACCCGTGAAGGAACGACCTCCTTGTAAACTAACCCCGAAAAGGAGAAAGAAAAACGTGGCAAGCAAAACTGCTATGCATATCCTGCCAAATGTGAACGGACACGTGGATCCGTTTTTAATCCATAATCTTCCTCAAATGAACAATCTTGAAGGATTAAATCAACCGAATGTGTTCCATCTTACAAATGAAGTTGGGTTAACCCCACCATGTTCTACCGAAAACCATGGTGAACCACAGGGTATGAACCATGAGCCCAAGAAAAGAGGGAGAAAGAGGAAAACCATAGATTTGCAGGCAAATCCTGGTTCGGCCGTAATGCCGGATTTGAACGAAAATGGTGCTGAGAAGAAAAGAGGAAAGAAGGTCAAGACGAAAGAAACCGGGGTACCATGTGTAGATTTGAGTTACAACAAAGTTCAACAGGATACTGAAGAAGTTACAGGTACTGCTTTTCTCTTGAAGTTCTCATCAGACCATCCTTTGCCATCAAAACAAGATTTGAATTCGATATTTTGCAAATTTGGAGCATTGAACGAATCCGAGACTCAGGTATTGGATGATAGTCGAAGTGGTCAAGTCGTGTTTCTTGATTCTTCGAGTGCCGGGGAGGCATTTTGGGGTTTACAAAATCATCACCCTTTTGGACAAGCGCTTGTCAATTACAGGATTCAGCATCTTTCAAGTGCTGAATCCAATGTTGGATTTAGAACCCCCATCAAGAATCCGTCTTTATTGAAACCTCTAGACAGTGTCAGTATGGGTTCGCAGGCTATAAGCAGTTCAACTGTTATACCTGATTTGAACGGAAATACTGGTGAAAACAAACTCCTCAAGAAACGCAAAAAGATAGCAGAAGGCCATCTACCATCTACAGATCTCAGTTATGGTAAAGTGCAGCAGGGTAATGGAGAAGCAACAGGTACAGCAATTCTCTTAAAGTTTTCCCCAAATCATCCATTGCCATCCAATCAAGATTTGAATTCAGTGTTTTGTAGATATGGGACATTGAATGAATTGGAAACCCAGGTTTCACCCCTAACTCTGAGTGGTCAAGTGGTCTTTGTGAACCCTTCTAGTGCGGGGGAAGCGGTTCAGAATCTGGAAAAGGTTCGACCTTTTGGTGAGACCCTTGTTAGTTTTCGGGTCCATCATCTCTATAACGTTGAACCTGCAATTGGGTTCAAGAACCCGTTAAACGTTCCCTTGGGGTTAAACAAACAGGCGCCTGATCTCGGGGTTATAAAGAAGAATCTTGAAATGATGACGATGATGATGGAGAAGGCTGGCGATACGCTATCACCAGAGATGAGAGCGAAACTCGAGAGCGAAATTAAAGGTTTGATGAACAAAGTAAGCACCATGGATGGCTCTTCTTCCTCTTCTCTATGATGGGTGATGATGATCTGATGGTTTTTATGTGGTTTTTGTTCTTTGGTGGGCTTGGATTTTAAACAAATGTGGCCCTTTTGTGCTCTGTTTTTCTCTCTTTGTGATTGTTCATGGTGTGGATTTTAACCAAGAAATCTTTATTTTCGATTGCATTGAGAGGGAATCGAGTGTTTTGATGGATTATGGTTTTAGAAAGCCAAATGTATGTCTTAATGGAATCAGCATGAATTCAAAAGACTTTCTTCATGATTCTGAAAATGGTGTGTTAATTGGGGTTTTTTGTTTGTTTTATAAGGGGTTGTTTACTATCTGCTTACCGCCTCTTACTTTATCTGGTTAGATATGTTGTTTTTTACCGAGTCCGTTTACCTGTCTATGATGTTTACTGAAAGACTGGTTGGTTGGTTTTCCATTAAGTTATGCATGGATAAAGTTGTATGTGTGGATTAATTTGTCAGTATAGATTGAGAAAGTTTTTGTTTGGAAAGGTTTTTTAATAGACAGAAGAAGTGTGTTTTTAATCGGGAGGGACATTTTGAAAAAAACTTGGCTTTCTGCATAAAGCTTCCCCTAGAAGTTTATGGAATAAGTCATTTTTTAGATCATTGAGTTACTACCAAACAATCATGTATAGCTGACCAAATAAGCTGTGAGGCCCATTAAGCTGCTAATACACAGAACTAAGATGTTGATTTGGTGAGCCAAGGGAGGGACTTTTACTCGGTACTAATGTTGATCTAGACCATACTCTTGTTCAGTTAGTACTTATCTGGTCAGATATGTTGCTGTTTACCAAGCGCGTCTTACCTATCTATGATGTTGACCGAGATGTTAATGGAGTAAGTAAAAGAAAGGGACTTTTACTCTTTCAATTCATTAGTATTGACACCTGACTTTTTTTCGAAGTTTATAATATCTATATACCGCAAATGCAAATAAACTCAGTATTTGTAAGGTTTGAACTCCTGACCTCCTAGGAGACCAAAGACTACGATACCGCTAGGCAAAAGGCCATTTAGTTATTGACACATTTGAACTCCATACTTGTAAAGTATTACGATAATAACTTTGATTACTTGTCGAAACAGGCTTTTTGAATCTTATTGTTTGTCGGTGTAAATTGTAGATGGGCATTTGAGATCGGTTAAGGGGGACCGGTCTAGTACAGGACCGATTTGGCACTTGTTATGGTCAAATCGGTTGTTTTCAGACCAATTATTTATGTTTTTTTAGATTGTACGAATTCCTTTTGATCATGGTTTTTTATTTATTTATAATCAAATAAATAAAAATATTAATAATTTAAGTAAATAGCAAATGTTATTTTAGCATATTTACTAATTATAAATTTTATTAAAGAAATAGTTAATTTATTATTGAAAAGAACGAACTGAAACCGATCTGACTGATTACAAATTTAATACTAGTCTATGTTTTTGGATACTGATGTAGACCACGACTAGTTTCGGCATGCTGAGGTTGGGAACTTGGGACCAGTATGAGAATTGACTGGTTAAACGGTTTACCTATCTTTACTTTTTATTCTTTTTTTTTATTGAATATCCAACCCGCTATGCGAGCCGGTGAATCTCATGGCGACCACCTACTTTGCAGATAGTCCGGAGTCACCGCATTTGAACCTCCGTGGCCACAAGAGGATTTTTTTTCCTCATTGGATTTTTATTTTTTTCTTGTTTAAACCAAAATAATCAAGATTTAGCAAAAGGGAAATGTACTTTTTATGAATAAGACACGATTTTGATGAGCTGTTTAGCAAGCTACTAAGAAGATTTCGCAAGCCCAAATGATATTTCGTAAGCCGTCCCCACCAAAATTATATTTAATTCAGAAAAAGTATGTATTTCGTAAATTACGAAATGGGCATTTGTGGAACATTAAACTACGTTGGTTTAATTGAATTTTTTTGACGAAAATGTGAAAGGACATAGTTTTACTATCTTGGTGAATTACATCCAACTCAAACAGCTTTTTTATTTTGAAGATTTCAGTATTAATTGTATTGCTGTAATTGAGGCCATCAGAATAAAGTTTTTGAAGAAATACCATATTAACTATTAAGGTTATACATCAAACTATGGTAAATTAGTAATAGTTTAGTTTCTGTCCCATTCTTGTCCCATCTTATTCCACCTATTTTGGTGGAACAAGAAAAAACCTCTTTTGTCTCATGTTGTCCCAGTTTTTGTCCCTGTCACATGTCATGCCAAACGTGAAACAGTGAGTTTTTATTCTGTCTCATGTTGCGCCAAACGTGGGACAATGAGTTTTGTCCCGTCCTGTCATGTCCTGTCCCGTCTCATGTACCAAACTCAGGCTAAATGATCTTAAAAAGGTACCAAGAGTTTCCAATTTTATTCCGCTCGATTAAAAAAACCATCTTCGTCCTTTGTATATACTTTTAGATCAGATACGTTATCCCATCGAATAATCATATTTACAGGGTTTTAGATCAAATATGTTATCTGATCGAAGAATCATCTTTACAAGATATATAATAAAGACTCTTACTCGGGGTCAGGTCGGGACTCGACAAGAAACTATCCAATCCATACACCATTAAGCCAAAATTCTCTTTAGCTTCACCCAATAAGCAAAACTAAAAAGCCAACAACCAAATCCAAACCGAAAACAGACACAATATATCTCAGACGAAAGCAGAGTTGAGGGTACTGACCCACGAGACTGAGTGATTGTTTCTGAGAAAACCAACGAACACCCACATAAATCCACAAGATTTGAAGGGCTAAAAGTTACAAATATTTATTAATGTAAATCTAATCCCAACTTAATCTACCATCAAGAAGTAATAAAATCAGAAGCAGCAAATAATGACTACTCCATGACAGCAACACCTCCAGCGGCTTTAATTTTCTCGATGATCTCGTTCGCCTCTTCTTTCGTCACCCCTTGTTTGATTAAAACCGGAGCCTTCTCGACCATCTCTTTCGCTTCCTTCAATCCAAGACTCGTAAAACCACGGACCTCTTTGATCACCTTTATTTTAGCAGCTGCATCAAATTTCTCCAACTTGATGTCGAATGCTGTTTTCTCGACCTTTTCTTCAACCTTGGCGGGCCCACCTCCTGACCCACCCGACACCACCCCTTCTACTGAAATCGACTGCATCTTAGGATGTCTCAACCTCTCTCTAAGAGTCGGGCCTATTTGCATACGCTCTTCAGGGGGGAGGGCTGCAATCTTTTCGGCTAGTTGAATGATCTTTTCAGAAGGTGGTGGTCTGGGACCATATGGATCATAGGATGGGGGTAATTTGTATCTTTTGGGTTTGGATTTGGGATCTGCAGGAACGAAATCGGGTTGAAAACAACGAGATTGCAAAGGTCCTGTTATGTTACGTATGCGAATGGACTTGAGAAGTGCAAAAGCTTTCATGGTTTGGTTGGTTTTGGTATCAGAGAAGATTCATGCAATGAGGTGGTTTTGAAAGATAATGTTTATATAAACGGATTGATTAAATGAAGTACTGCAACATGCAATGATCGAATAAATGGTATCTCTGATTCTAGAATGAACTTGGACTGCTTGACACTGGTCTCAACCTTCTTACACCTGAAAAAAGACAGGCAGGCTTCAGCTACTATGAACACGAAGATGATGATGCCATGATAATTTAAAGTAAGGAGTGGTTTGATTTCAACATTCGGGTTGGAGGGGTTACAGTTGAACGTGTTGCATATATGCATTAAGATTAACGCACTGATACTCTGCTTGATGAACTAGGAATCAAAGAGCTACTATTTTTTATGGTGAGAACAACACATTAATCAAGAAAGACGAGATAAGATGAAGCTAAGATTCTTTGTACGGTTTCCAACATGATCCATATATATTTAACTGTTGATACATTTATACAAGTTTCAATATTTCGTGGCCAAAATAGTATTGGGAAATGTCCCAAATCCTATCGTTATATCAAGACAAACCAGCAAAACTTCAGCGACTATTCTATCTTCAAGTATTTGTAACTCCATTTGTGCCCATAGAAATTGCAAAGTTTGACGGGTTACATAGTTATGTAAAGTGTTTTGAGTTTTGATATTTGCAAAATATATGAATATCCTTCAATGATGGATTGATGGCAACTAGGATGAATATTGTCAAACTGAATTCAATAACATCAACTACATGTAAAATTTGTCAAAAGAGGCTACATTTTCTGAACGAAATGATACGATTCTTGAAAATGCATTGTACATCAAAATTAGCCCTAAAGACATGATGCCAAGCCAGTATTGACTACCAGTCTACCACCCCCCCCCCCCCCCCTCCCCTCAAGGGTCCATCAAAAAGATATAAAAACCTAAATATGCTTTATTTGGTATCAGTCTGAACTCGAGCTATGAGCAAATATAACACCTTTCTATGGTACAAAGGTAGCATCAGTTTTTATGTTGTCTTCCTACGAGATCAAAAAGCACAACATGCAAATGAAGGTAGATAACACGAGTAACAAACACATTCTCTACCATGGGCATGCTTTATTCATAATGAAGATATCATTTTATTACATTGCTAGTTTTAGGCCATAATCCCATCATCATCTACAAGGCTTACAGTTTCTGAAAACTATAGTTTCTGTTCTACTCTATGGCATCAAAGAGGTCAACAATGTTATATTTGAGATACTTCCATTGCCAATACACTACTCCTATGAGCAAATCTCTTACTTATTAGATCAAACCTAATACTGTTCAAATACAAAACTGACAAGGGTTTGCTGTAAATTCAACCAAAATTCACACCAAAATCCATTGGGCAACAAATGAGACATTATATCGAACACCTGGAATGCATCTCAAATGGTACCACACACAAACCACAAAGAATCAGCTTCATATCACCAAATTCACACTTATATATATAGACACATACATAAACACATACAGATATCAAAAATCACAAACTTGATGAACAACAAAATTGACACACCAACTTGTAGCATAAGAGAATCGCAAAACGAATAAGAGAAAAGGGAAAAAATGAAGCAAAACAGTAACAAATGTAAAACGGATTAAATCATTCAACGAACCGTGATTCTATGAATTTTGAAGCTCTGCAGAATCGACCAGAGTCCAGTGATTTGAAGCTTCAAGGAATCGCCGCCGATGAAATTAGAATGAGCGATCAACCTTCTTGAAAAACCAGTGTATTTGGCTCTTAATTTAATTTCACCCCCTTCTAATTTGACTTGATGACACTTTGATACCTTCAGTTTTCCATAGCTATTTTCTTATCTCTTAATATTTCTATTAAAAGGCAATCTCTGAATCGTTAAGAGTTGAATATTATTTAGTAAAAAAAAAGTTTTTTTCTAAATCTGCCAAATGATTTTATATCATGGGTCTCCCTTAACCATTAAGCGTTCTAATTTCATTGTAACAATTATATTTCATTTTGCACTATATCATGAGAACCTCTTAATTCAATTGACTACTTAATCATTTTGAACTAAACCATTCAGCAACTGTCAAACCTCTTAATCATTCTGAGCACTTAAAACTCTTTTTAAGAGATAAAGGAAAAGGAGAGGGGAAAAAAAGAAATTAGCAAAAAAAAGTTATTAAAATTACAAAACTTGGATTTAGTCTTTCACGTTTGTCAATTCTCAACAGTTTTGGTTTATCTGTCTAACGGTTGTTAATTTCCTCAACCAAGTCCAGTTGAATGAAGGGTATTTTAGTCTTTTTCAATTATTTTTATTATATTAAAATAAAAAAAATATATATTATATTTTTAATTTAAAATTGTAAATTGAAAGAAGGAAAAGAAGAAAAAAGAAAAGAAAGGTGGGTCACCATCTTTATAATCTAGAAATCTATACTATATTATAAAGCATTTGGTTAAAACTCTTAAAAACTCTTAAAACTCTTAAACTCTTAAAAACTATTAAAC